TGAGCCGGAGCTGGTGGTGTAGCGATAGATGTTGCTTGCTGAGATGAGCCTTGAGCTTCAGACACCTGATTTCCTGCACTACACACATTGTTAGCATAAGTATTAGGTGTTCCTCCCTTCTTCCTGTATTTGAAGTCAGCTGGATATCCATGTAACTGGTAGCAATTGTCCCTTGTGTGACCTTTGAGCTTGCAGTAGTCACACTGAAGTGCAGGTTTTTCATAGTTGTAGTTGTTTCTAGTTTTGTAACTGTTGTTACCACCACTAGTGTTGCCACCATTGTTAATCCCTCTGCTACTTAATAGAGCAGTAGCATTATTGCCATCAATACCAACACTAGTATTGATCCCGCTGTTGTCATTCTTCCTTTGACTTTCTACATTCACTATCATAGCATATGCCTGATTTATATTTGGTAATGACCTTGTCATAAGAATTGGATCCTTTGCATTCTCATAAGACTCATTAAGACCAATTAAAAACTTAAAAAGCTTTTTTAATTGATAATGCTCGGCATGTTTAATAGACTCTGGGCATCCACATGAAGGAGGAGGAGCAAGTGTCTCATACTCATTCCATAGTTCCCTAAGCTTCGAGAAATACACAGACACAAATGATATGCCCTGAGTAAGTGCAGCAATTTCCTTGTGCTAATAACAAGCTCCGGAGGCATTTACTTTATCAAACCTCTCTTTGAGGTCTTCCAACACCTTATGTGCATTAGAAGCGTAAATCACAGTACTAATATGACTTTGAGACACAACATTCATTATCCAAGCCAAGACAATGGCACTACATCTGTCCCGGAGTTCATGTAGACTAGGATCATACATTTCTTTTCTACATGTTCCTAAAACAAAGCCTAGTTTGTTTTTGCCATGCAAAACAATCTTCATCGACCGACTCCAAATCAAATAATTTTCAGAATCTTGAAGTTGAATTGAAATGAGAACAAAACCTTGTGTATTTGAAGGATGAATATACAGAGGATGATTGTGATATACCAGATCTGGATGTTGAGTGTTCAACATCTGAGTTGCAGTAGGAACCTGATGAGCTGAGGAAGTAGAGATTCCTTCGTCATTCACCATTGCAATTGATTGATTCACACCGCACTAATTGAGAAGATTTGAGTCACAGCTCACAAAATTGCACCAAAAATTGACGCTGATCAAACAAGCCCTAATTGCAGGGAATTTGCCAAAACTAGCAAAAAAAGAGTAAAAATCAACAAGTGAGATGAACTTAGTGAGATTTCTCTTCCAGTGAAGCTGAGCTAATCGATCTCGCCTGAAAGCTCTGATACCATGTTGAATAGATCAGCTATAGCAGAAGAGAGAAAGTCAGTGGAGAAAAAGCTCCATTTTCTGTGTATTAGAAAATATGGCAACTGTATATTGGAATGCTACTGTGCACGTATAACTACCTTACTATTTATAACAACCAATCAACTAACTATATGTACCAACACTACTAATTACACTGTATTAAGTTAACTACTGGACCCCACATCTATTCTTTCTACACTTTTTTGTTATTTTTAACTTTAGGAGAAAGCTTGTAGGAAGTGATACATAATTTTTATTCAACTGTGTACTTATCAATTTTTTATTTATTTAACTGTGACAGTAGATATACATGGTTCATTACTCTTCATGGCCTTGTTGCTAATTTTGGAAGCCAATATTTATCTCTACTGGGACATTTCCCAGTAGTTCCTTGCCTCTATCCTCTTTCTTCTTTTGAATTAAAGAGTTGGGATATTCATGGAGGCAAGGCTAGGTAATCCCAGTTTGAAATCGTTTACCTTTTTGTGATGGCAGAGCTCTCTTGATCTGCTTATTTCTTAGTTGCTATTCTTTAATTTGAAAAATTTTAAATTTAATGGGTCCATTTATTAAATTATAAAGTTTATATTTCAAATATCTATCACCTTTTGTCGAGATCAAATGCATCATGTGTCAATTTCAACCTATTACAGTATTTTATTGATTAGTTTCTCAATAAACCTCACATCTTCTTGAATATCAAACTAAAGAATTAAGAATTTGCAACCGGATTTTGGATTTCACCTGAACTTTTCTACTCTTCCTTGTCAATTTTCTTCTTTATTCTCCCCAATAAGCAATCATGGGCGAAGCCACATTTAGCCGAAAAATTATAAAAATTACACCGTGTATATAAATAAAATATTAATTTTAGATATGTAAAACCTATATTGAACACCCTTTGTCGAAATTTTTTTTTTATTTCTTTCAAATTTGAACACCCTTGGAAACATTTCTGGCTTCGCCACTGTAAGCAATGACAGCCAAAAGTGATCTGTAGTGCTGATCAATAACGCTGCAGATGAGCTTCGTGGTATGAGATGCTTCAATTGATTGGAAACGGCCTAATGAACAATATTCATTGCTTCGCCACAACTTTCGGGTTTATTTTATGGCATTTCAGGATCATGCAATACGAACTTATGATTATAACCACTTTTTCGTATACACTTGTTTTAGTGTACGTGCGTTGCACGTGTATAACGCGTTAATTAGTATAAAATATGTAAAGAATAAATTATTGAAAAATAGCAATTGATGTTAAACTAAATGCGAAATTTGTTCAAATGATCAAAATAAATGTTACTCCCTCCATCCAAAATAAGTGATTTTTTGGATGTTTTCACACAGATTAAGAAATTCACCTTTTAGCATTAATTAGCAATTGAATTGACCATATTAACCTTTACTATCTCACATAAACACTCGTAACACATATTCCAACCCTATTTACTACAAGGACAATGTAGGAAAAAAATAATTAATTCATTCTTGAAATCTGGAAAAATCACTTATTTTGGACCACAAGAAAAAGGCCAAAAAATCACTTATTTTGAACCGGAGGGAGTATTAGATTAATACAATAGTTGAGTTCAATATCTTCAAAATATATAAAGATGATGAATTTAGTTGAATCAATTTGGACAAACATATTTTTTTAACGCAACTAATTGCACAGTCTTTTAGTTGGTATAAATGAGTATAAAAGCTTTATGCTAATCATCGTGTAAGGAATAAATCAGTTTTCTATGTTTTTGGACAATACAAAATAAATTCTAATTTTAATTTATAAAGATTCTAAAATAAATATTTTAGGTAGAAAAATTAGGTCAAGCTACTTTATAATAAAAGATATTAAAAATTTAAAAATGTGTTCTGCTCACTTCTTTTTTTTTCTTGGGTTTAGTCTAACATTAAATTGTTTTATTTAAATATTTATGTCTGTTTTTTATATGTAGTATAAGTTCTTTGTAACTTAAATACATAGAATTCTTATTTGTTCATTTAAAGGTCATCAAAAATATAAATATAATAAGTAATCCTCTTCTTATGTAAAAATATTGGCTAGATTCGTATTGGTCTAAGTCTAAATTCCTTCTATACATGTCATCCGAGACCAAATAAAAGTTAACACTACCTTAAACTCATTCAGAATAAACTTTGCTATAGACGATTTTGGAATTTCAAAATCAACTTTACTGGGACAATTTTTCAAATTTATATTTCAAAGTTCCAAGTATATTACTTTATTTAAAGTTTAAATATGAGTTATAGTTAAAAATAAAAAGGTAAAAAATTAACATGCATTGGTGATGTCATTTAGGTATTCAATTATTGAAAGTATTTGTAAAAGAATAAGATGCTAACAATTATATATATCAAGAGGCTAAGAATACGCATTAACTCCAAAAGCGTGTTTAAAGTTCGCAAGGATATAATGTTTATTTATGGAAGAATTGAAGTAAAGTAAATTTTAATTGAATTTGAAGTCCTAAATATTAGGACCTTAAATGTAGTTTAAATAAGAAAAAATATTAAAAAAATAAAATTTAGTTGATTTTGAACTCCTAAATATTAGGAAAATAATTAAATAACTGTTTTATCTAGTATGTAATCTATTTCTAAAGCGTGAAAAAGGCAAATAATATTTTCCTAAGGGCCTTCGTGCTTTTAATATAGTATAGATTAGTACATGTTGATTTTGTATTAAAAAATTTTACGGACTTCGATTAGTCTGAAATTTCATAGGTCCATAGGAAACAACCTAGTGACCAATACTTGCTCCGCCATGACTTTTGAGTTCATTTTATGGTGTTTAATGGTCATTAATGATAAATTTGTGATTATATCCACTTTTTGTGTGTTTTGTACATGCTGATTTTGTAGAATTTTTTTGACGGACTCTAATATGCCTGAAATTCCATAAGTGCATATAGAAACGGCCTGGGGACCAATACTCATTGCATCACTATGACTTTCGGGTTCATTTTATGACGTTTCGAGGTCAAGCAACACGAATTTATGATTATATCCAATTTTTCGTGTATATTAGTACATGCGGTAAATCAACTGTTCATCATGGCCTTATGGTTTGGGGGCAATGCATTAGATGTTTCGATTCAAGTTCCAGACCTTTTTCGCCATTGCTAAGAAGACCATAGTTATACCAAGAAAAACACAGAAATCAGAATTTTTCACTTCTTAGCTTCCAAAAAAATTAAAATATCTCCAAATATGGAAAATTTTGTAGAATACCTACATATTGTTTGTAAAGTATGGATTTCTTTTCTATTCTTGAGTTGTAGATAAGGAAATGATTGATTTCCTAAATAAGGTATGCTATATTCTTCAAATTTACCCTAGTTTTGGTTCTGATATCAGGAATCAAATTGTATGTCGTCTAAATTTTTCCGTCTGTCGTGGTTAAAGTACCTAAAATTGTTTGACCGAGTCCGGTACAGATCCCATACCCACACCCATACTAGTGTCGTGTCGACACGGGTATGGCACCTAAACTGTCGTGTCGGAGCAACTTAGCCGATAGACCCTCGGCTCAGGAGAAGCATAAAGCTGACTCACTTAGTATAAATGAATAAGATAGTTTTGACAATAGCATGTTTTACTCTACTGTGTCTCTCCAACAGTAGCAATTAAATTTCAAATACTAATACATTGAATAAGAAACATATAAATACTCATACATTGAATTTTAAAAACATACATCAGTTTTTATACAACATACAACGTTCCATTAAAACTCAAAAAAAAAAAAAGGAATTAAAAAAATAGGCTGAGAAATGGTAAGAGAAAATGGAAGTCAAAGGATTACCTCAACAACACTTTTACTTGTCTGGTTATATAGACATGAAGCACATTACACTGCAGGAAGATAAATTGTCTGCTGGAAGTCAGTAGTTGTTCTTTGAACCAACTTTGCTGAATTTTTATTGTTAGAACAACTTTCATCGTAGTTTACTCCAACATTAGTAATATTAAGTGCGATACTGCTAATCGTGCACAAAGACAGCCTATAAAGATAGCTACAGTTTGCAGTAATACTATGTAATTCGATCAACATGGTGGGTTGTAGCTTACCAGTGCTACGTCGACAAAATGAAATGGAAACTAACGAGGATGGTTTAGTGCTACGTTTTCTTCTTGAATTTCCTCTGCGCCTTCAAGTCGACCACAATCACAGATATATTGTCTCTGCTTCCCTTTTGGAGAGCAAGTCGTGTTAAGTACTCTGCAGCATCTTGAGCAGCAGGATCGACATTTTCACCCCTTTCGTTGGTCAATGTACTACCATTCTTTTTGTGCCAGAGAAGAATTCGTCTCCTTGCCACCTCACAAGCTTCTTCATTTGTCAAGACATCCCAAAGACCGTCACTCGCTAAAATAAGACAGTCGTCGTCTTTTACTCGGGGTACAAACATCATTTCTGGATCTGGAATCACATAAGGCCTTAAATATCTATCACCTGCAGTAAAAAGACAATCTTGTCAAATCAAGAAAGTCTTGATCTCTAGGATAACAGTTTCAAAATAATAAATGTGAGCAGAATTTTGATAAAAGTGAACACAGAATTTCTTGTTAAGCAATAGACTCCAAAACTAACCACCTCGGGAGGCTTATCCCTCAAGTAAGATGCAGTTTTCGGATGACACTCCAACCTACAATGCGAACCTATGTTGCTCGGACTCTCCGAAAATATCGATAGGTGCGTGTCGGATCCTCCAAAAATAGCGTATTTTTGGAGGATCCGACACGGGTGCGGCAGCTGTTTTGGAGAGTCCTCGCAACATAAATGCGAACTAGCAAACAATAGGAGAATACATCCATATCCTTGTCGTATTTGAAGTCAATCTTACGAAATTTGCCCAATGGCTTATTGTTTAATTTTGTCGGTATGGGTTTCGTTGAATTAATCACATTGAACAATTCTATATTATGTGTGATATTTACATTTGTACCAGGTCAAGTGCAGATTGTTGTTTAACACCAGTGGGTTCAGGACTGAACTTTGACACTCTATATTATATATGTTATATCACTTTCATTATGGTGCATGTGAGAGTTTGGTCCAATTATGCCGTAGCTTTAAAATTCCATTTATAACTTGATACCTATTTCCCCATGTGCAAACTAAGGACAATATAGGTTACTCGGTTAACCCTCTCCAACCAATAATGAAAATATAACAGTACAATCACGCTTGTGTGCGGATAGTACAATATACATACCAATTGACCTTGAAACTGCAAGAACACCAGAAACGCGATGTCCATCCCAATTAATGACCTTCCCTCCCAGTGCTTCTATTCGTGAACACTCATCTTCTCTATTTGGCTGAAAACAAAACATAGTTGAAGAAGATTATATGGTTGCAAATAAAGCCAAACAAATGTTGCAAAATGGTATAAAAACAAGTATAAGCCTTACTTTATGATCAATGGACAACGGCATGGGTAATTTCCCCCGACAAAGGACTGCCCTTGAATCACCACAATTTGCAACTATAATATGGGTTGGACTAACAACAGCAACTACAGCTGTAGATCCAACTGCTTCGGGAGCAATAGGTGCAAGGTCAGGCTCAGTACCGTCTGTTTCACTACCAAGCCCTCCTACCTCATCATCAACTCTACAGAAACAATTTAAGAAAGCCTTCGACCATTGCTCCTTCCAGTTAACAGTTTCATTATTATGTGAATCCTCTTTCGCAATATCTATCTCCTGTGCTAAAGCCATATGGATACGCTCACGACAATAATTAGCAACCTGCTACGGAAGGGAAAAAAACAGTTGGACGTAATATATGTGTACCTGAAAAATAAATACACAAGCACGTAGGAAATGAACTCTAACATGCATGCAATAGCAACTTTGGTTTAACTAGAAACGAAATCAAATGTTTAACATACAAGCAAAAACAGATAGAACGTTCACCTGAGAGCCTCCATGTCCATCGTAAACCCCAAATAAATGGGCCGTTAGTGTTTGATTCAGGGCATGAGAAGCTGGCGGATCCATCAACATTTGAGATGGGATTCTCAGAAACCTTGGTAAAGCTACTGCTGCATCTTCCATTTCCGGCCTCTTTCCTTGTATCGTGGTGATCCCCCAAAGCGGCACAGAATCAAAACCAAAGACATTTGGCCTACTTATCTTCATCTCATTTGAACTCTCAAGGAGGGATGGTGGTAATTTTCTTTTATAATCTTCAGCACCCACAACCACACCATTCATTCCGGTGGAAACAAGATCACTTACAAGTTCCGACTCATTAACCAACTCATTAGCCAAATCACATGAATAAGACTTCCTTAGATTCTGGGATACACCAACCTTCTTGTCTTCATCTCCAGGCGTGCCGCCACGCTCATCCACTAGAGAACTAGAACAAGTCATATTTCCTAATAGCTCATCAGTTGGTGAAATCAAACTGTTGTCCCTAGATCTATCATTATTTGCATCAGTATTTATCAAACAATTTCCATTCGCTATCACAGTCGATGAAAAATTGTTCCCTTTCCTAATTTCATGGCAATCGGCAACTGTCATACGGTTAGCTTTATCCCGTGGCACCCTAGTATTCTGATTAGCAACGGACACCGAAGGAAGCTTGCACTTTGTGTTTGGTACCAGCTCATATCCGGTGAAGTCCATTCGAGTAGGTAGTACCGACTCATCATATATCAATTTTCCCTGTTTATATGATACAGCAAGTGTTGGTAACATCTCTTCCATCACTACTACCCTTCTTCTCTTATCACTAATCAAAATTTCAAACCCCTAAAATAAACTAATACAAAAGCCAAGAAAAGGTTTCAAAAGCCAGAATAAGTCACTTATTCTCTCCCTTAGAAGAGAAACAATGGAGCTGAAAAAGAAGCTTAACTCAAACAGGTAATCTATGACATAAGAGAGAATATGGATCCAAAGTCCAAACTTCTGTTTCAAGGAGAATCACTATCCATAAAATATATGCTATAATTATTAGATCCTTCTTTATCCAAAAGCCTAAATTCAATAACCAAGAATCAATTCTTTATCACCAATAATATACCCAATTAATTGGAAAACAACAAATCAGGTCTTTAATCTATAGTGGTCACTGCTTCTTTGAAACAAGACAGAGATACAACATAGAAAGAACAATAAAGATTCAAACTTTATTCAAAAAAGAGAACTTACAAGCTCAAAGCAGACCACACATCAAATTCCTCAGCCAAAAAACATAACTTTTTTCCTCCAAATTTCAACCCAATTTCAAGATTCCTGATTTATGTGAAAAAACTTAATTATTTTAGCACATAAAGTTAATTGAATCAAAAAAGATTGTGAGAAACCAACAATAACCAAGAACCCCATGATTTCAACAGTTTAAACAAATCAAATATGATGCATGTAAGCATTTGTGATTAGTCTAATCATTCTATATTTATTGGTGGTATTGATTAGATAACACAAATCAATTAATACAATAATCTAAATAAACAAATACCCAAATCATAAATAATAATTAAAAAAAAAAGGAAGGTAAGTGAGAAGTTGCTTACCGTTTCAAAACAGTATGCATTAATGACACACTAAAAATTAAAAGAAAGAATAAAAAAATTTAATAAAATAATAATGTAAAAGACTATAGAAAACAGATTAGAAAGCAAAGTATGTGATGTGTCAAGGATTGGAAACATTTGTATACTAAACAAAACTTTGCCTTTATAAAATTCTTAGTCAAGTGGGTCCCATTTACAAGACATCTGTCCTAACAATTGGCTTCTTTTCATTCGTTCTGGACCCACTTCTTGATTTTTAATGTTTCTTTCGGTGAACTAATGGTATGATTTTTAGGAATAATTAATTATTTTTTGGTGGGTCGTCCCACACTAATTCTCTGTCCTTGCCACGTTGAGGTTTAGTTTTTGTGTTTAAAAAAAATAGAAAATTTACTTCCAAAATAATAGTCGAAAAATATATATTTATATATATATATATACACACACATATTCTGTATATTATGTACAAAAATAGTATAAATTTTATATATTTTTTTGATTACCGAATATAAATAGTGCGAGCTAAAAATGGTAATACCCAAAAAGGAAAAACTTTAGGGAGATGAGTAAAGACGGACAAACCGTAGTACGTAGTACGACTACTTTTTCCTTTTAACTAAAAATTAAAAAAATTAAAAATTTAATTTTTTAAGTTTTTTTAAGGTTTACGGTTTAAACGGGTTTTAAAGGGGTTCGGTTACGTACGTACTTTAAATTTAAAGTAAAGGTTAAGGGTTAAGGTTAAATTTAAANGAGATGAGTAAAGACGGACAAACTGACGTATAGCATCTTTTTCAATAAAATAAAATATTATTTTAGTTTAGCGTTTAAAGGTGGTCTAGCTATTAATAGAAGTTGGAATTATAACGGAGTTCAAATACGACAATAAATAATAAGTAATTTTTTTTCATCGGTTTAAATTTTAGTTTTTTAAAAAAAAATTGTGTGTTGATGAATAATAATAAATATCTAATAAATTAGTCGAGATATGCACAGATTAACTCGAATAACACCATAATTAAAACGAATTATAATTTTACTTTCTATTTCGTACCAGTGTGAGGCTAGTCTGATAGGATTTTGTTTTAGACTGCTAGTGGTTAATGTTATGTTTACACTACTCTTCCGTTTTTCATAGTGTCAGGCCTTATTTACTGGTTATTCTTTTTGCTTTTCATTTATTTTCTGGTTCTTATAATGTTGTTATTATTTATATGGGTTCTGTTGATGGTACTGATATATTATTTCTTTTCGTCAGCGGAGGATCAATTGGAAACAGCCTCTCTGCTCCCTCGGGATAGGGGTAAGGTCTGCGTGTTAGGACCAAAAAACAGGTGTCATAGGGGCTAGCAAAGCACGAAAAATCATACAACAAAAGAGATACAAATATTTAACGTGGTTCGGTCAATTGACCTACGTCCACGGCGGAGATGAGCAATCTACTATATATAAAGAGAGTAGAAAATATCGAGAGAACAACCTCATGAAGCAAACACAAGTGACACAGTAACACTTGTCCCGTAAAGTTCTCCCCCTAAACAGGACTCTCAAACCCCATATGGCTACATTGTGGATGCTACTGAATGAGAAGGACGTGTCTTCAATTTATAGAACTCCAAATCTTTTCCTACAAGAAAAAGGACTAGCCAGATATGGAAGAATTATAATTTCCTTCTACAAAAAGGAAAACCCAATTATGGTAAGAAAATCAGGACAACACCTAACAATGCGTACACATTACCCTCTCCGAACTCCACTTGTGTGATTTTACTGGATTGTTGTTGTTGTTGAAGTGGCGGACCCGGGATTTTGTGCGAGCGGGTTCAATCTTAGAAGTACATAACTTTAGTCGTAAAATAGTAGTTGTCAAGTGGGTTCAAATAAAATATTTATACAAAATTTACGCCGCTTTAATTGTAATTTATACATATACACAGTATTATTTTTTGATGAAGCGGGTTCAGTTGAACCCGCTTGCTTCCACGTGCGTCCGCCGCTGGTTGTTGATGATGGTATTTTGATCCTTTGTTGTAATTCTTATCCAAATGTTGATTATGCGTTTCTTAAGCTGAAGGTCCATCGGAAACACCCTTTTTATCTTCATAATGTAGAGCTAATGTCTGTATACACACCTCCTCCCCAAATCCCATTTGTAAGATTATACTGGTATGTTATTGTTATTGCTGTCAAACGAGTTTAGTATTACTACTGTGTTACTCCACCAAAAACTAGACAATTGCCCCAATTTCATCCATGATTCCAATGTTAGCCCAACCTCCGAATTGTTAATCAAAGGACGAGTGGAAATACTATTCAACCACCATTACTATTTGGTTATCTTAGAACTCAATTTTCTTTCACAACTTTATTCTGGAAATGAAGATCTACAATGAGCCAAAATCAATTGATATCTTCCATTAAAAAAGAAAAAGGAAATTTTATCTTTTCGTTAATTATGGCTGACTTTAAGACACATGGTGAATCTTAGTGAGCTCTGTTAAAAAAATATACTAATCTACTTTCAAACCAATAATTTAAGTTACATACATTAATAGTGTGTGGTTTGTCCGTCTATGTTATATAGAGCGGAGCGTTCTTGACGGAGCGTTAGCCAGTCAAGAACGCTCATGTCCAGAAGATAAAAATAGTAGAAATGAGGATGTTGAGATGGATGTATAGTAGCGTTGTGCATTTGGATCGGATATCAGAAATTATTAGGACATGTATAAATACTAAACTTTAATTTCAAATAGCTAGTACTTCCTCCAAGTTATTACCTTTACAATTGCTGGATTTAGCTACATTGGCACCATAGTACCCTCATAATTGCAAAAATACGAATTTTTCTTGTTGTATTGCCTCTTCTACAAAAAAAAATATAAGTATGAGTTTTGCAACTTAGAGGCATAACGACTCGAACCTCCAGATAAATATTTTCTTAGGGATACAATGCTGATAAAAGGGATAAAAAGCAAAGAGGTGTTTGTATTAGCACATAACACCGAAGAAGCAGATAAGGCAGATGCATTAGCCGATTAGATTAGCAATAGCCTTAATAATACATATAATCCGATCCGAAATCCGAAATATTTATCCGATCTGATTCGATATTAATTCGGATCGGATTCGGATTGTATTTTGTAGAATCCGAAATCCAAAATTTCAATCCGAAATGTGCTAAATCCGATCTGATCCGATCCATGCACAGCCCTAACGTGTAGGTATATTAGGAGAGATACAAATAGGAATGTGGATATTGGGGATAAGGTGGGAGTGACCTCTATGCGCCAGTTTGTCATGTAAAGAGGAGATGCACAAATGCACCAGTAAGGAGGTGTGAGATAAGGCTGTGCATGGATCGGATCGGAGCGGATTTAGCACATTTTGGATTTTGAATTCTGGAAAATGCGATCCAAATCTGATCCGAATTAATATCGGATCAGATCGAATTTTAAAGTTTGGATCGGATCGGATTTTTGAATTTCGTATCGAATTATTATGCCTCAAAGTTGCAAACTCATATTTATATTTTCTTTGTAAAAGAGGCAATACAGTAAGAAAAATTCATGTTTATGCAATTATGAGAGTACTATGGTGCCAATATAGCTAAATCCATCAATTGAAAAGGTAATAACTTGGAATGTAAAGGAAGTACTAACTATCCGAAATTAAAGTTTAGTACTTATACATGCCCTAATAATTTCGGATCGGATTGGATTGGATTAAAAAATCCAATCCGAAATCCGAATTTTAACAAACACAATCCGAAATCCGATCCAATCCGAAATTCGAAATCCGAAATTGAACGGACCAGTTCAGATTTCGAATATCCGATCCAAATGAATAGCCTTAGTGTGAGAGGTTGTTGTGGTGGGTCTAAGGAGAGGCAGAGGTAATCGAAGAAGTATTGGGGAGAGGTAATTAGTCAGGAAATGGCACAGCTTCAGCTTACTGAGGACATGACCCTTAATATGACGGTGTGCAGGTCGAGGATTAAGGTAGTAGGTTGATAGGTAGTCACGAGTTTCTCTTCCGCATACTGGTAGTATTAGTACTAACCTCGTACTTTCTTAGTTTTAAGTTTTCTATTATTATCTATTAGTTCTTTACTTCTATTATCTTGTTTTCCTTGTTGTTGTTACTTTTTTGGCTTCTCCATTATCATTTTTCCTTTTAATGATTGTTGGGATTATGCTTTTCTTGAGTCGAGGGTCTATTGAAAATAATTTCTCTACCTTCACAACGATAGGGGTAAGGTCTACGTACATAATATCCTCTCTGCATCTCACTTGTAGAATTTTACTGGTATATTGTTATTTTTGTTACACCAAATAGTGTATCAACTTTAATTTTGTAATGGCGGATTAAATAATATTTTTATCAAGTTATTAATACCCCCATATAAATTTACTTGTAATTACCTTAACTAATCTTGTATAATACATATATGTTATGAATAAAATTGTAATTAGAGTGAATGTCTATCTTTTAGAGAGTCTTACTTTGTGGCTAAGTCATTTTTCCCCTATAAATAGAGATGTCTTACCCCCATTGTAAATCATCCCAAAGCAATACTCTTCTTCTTCATTTATTATTTTATAAAACGTTATCCACACGGGACTCTAACCAATTGAGTAGAAGCTTTGGAATTGAGCATAATGATTGTCAATTGTTCCATGAACTTCCTTCATGATTAAATTCTGGATTTAAGGTATGTATTTTACCGTATATTTCTCTTTTATTCTATAATTTGATTTTAAATAGAAGCAAAAAAAATAAATTTTGATTATAACTCTAATGGAGTTAGTAAGAAATTATAACCACTCGAAGTGGTAAAATTTCTATGCCTTGCCATGATCAAATTCATGTATGATTGTGGGCAAAGAAGTGGAAATCTGTTTCATTGAATTTGTTTCATTGTCATTCCCTTAAGAGAATGTAGTAGCAATATGTGATAAGTCTGAAAGAAGACAAAATTATTATCGTGAAGATA